CTTCCAGAACACGGCCACACAGCCCGGAAGACCCACACCAGCCATCGTATGCCGGCCGTGAAAGCCTTCGACAATCAGAAACATCTTTATTACAGTCACAGACTAGAACCAAACAATCAGAATAAAAGTCAATCAAAACTCTATAAAATTCTATAAAAACTCATTGCACCCCAGGGCAACATTCTCCTATACATCCAGATACCATCTTACTGGGCTCCAGCCTCATCTTACCCCAACATTAGCATTTAAATGTTAAGAAGGTAAGCTATAAAGAAAACAATGAACACTATGGAGACTTGCAGCACTTTAAAGCAGAACACATCTGGATTTTGGGTGGTGTGCTAGAGTGCTGCACTGCAAAAGCAGGCGGCTGGTTGGATTGGTCCCTATCCAAAACAGCTCATGTTATAAAGTTTGATGAACAGGGTACAGGGACATCAGAGGAAGGGAGAGAATCTATGGAAACAAAGTTGTAAGGTCTTATACTTAGTTTCAACAAGAGGTTGGGCTTCAAAAGTTAGCAAAAAGAGTGGAAAAGAGTGGAAAAATAAAACAGGAAGAAGAGAGGCATTGCTTTAGCATTAAAGTAGTTTCAGCAATAAAGCAGGTCAAGGAGGAATGCACCCTAATCGGAAGCAAGGGATTGGACAAATCTATTAGCCCCTTTTAATATAACTCGGAAGGAAGGAAGGAAGGAAGGAAGGAAGGAAGGAAGGAAGGAAGGAAGGAAGGAAGGAAGGAAGGAAGTTCCCTGAATGATTATCTGTTTCGAACTGTATTCTCAGCCTGTTGCAGTTTACTTCCTTGAAATGCAGTGAATATTCAAAGTTTGGACTCTTTTAGAAAAGCAAGTGACAAATGGTGGGTCAGAGACCAGCTTACCTTCACTGATCACATTCTTCATTATGCTTTCTCCTTTTGGTGCCTCATCTGTGTTGGCCCGGAACAGCATCCTGGCCCCCAAACCTTCCTCATGCCCACTACAATCTGTCATATCTCTGAAAATCTTCTCTTTTTCTTCTAAGAGGGCTATGATCTGCTGGTCTTTTTGGTGGAGCTGTTCTGTGGGATGGAAAAGAAGAAACGTCAGCTAAAGAGCTCTTACAAGAGATGGAATGTTACTTAAAGTTGGTGGGGCTTACAATCTCTGAGGCTGAAACTCCATCTTGTGTTGAAACAGAGAATTGCTGGAATCAGGAGACTAAAATTCAAAACACGTCATCATTTTGTTTTTACCTTTCAGTTCCCTGGCCTTTGTGTCCAGCACCCGCTTCTCCTCTTCTGACTCGCTAGGGATACCTTCATCTTCCTCTTTGTCCCTACAGTAGAGTCAAGCAGATTGAAAATGTATGCTGGAAAAGTGTTCATTCACACGTCATTTATGCTGAACTCTCTCTCCCCCTCTACTTCAGCACAGTTCCATTTCCTTCTTTGGAATGACTACCTACTATATATGTCTGTTTAGTTCTTTATAACAATATTCAAGATGTAGAACTCTTGAGACAGTTGGAAATTTCACAGTAGCTTTCCCATCCTAAGTATTATTCATGTTGCAAACTGATAAATGGATATCAAACATAGGAAGCTACCTTACATAATTGGGCTACCTCATAGGGGTTTGTCTATGGTTTGGCAACAGGGTTTCAAATCCTAGAGCTTTTATGCAGAAAGCCATGATTACCAGATCTTGCTGCAAAAATCCAGATGAACAATAGATGGAGGTAAAGAAACAGAAAACTCTACTTCTACCATTTAGTGGTCATCTAGGTTTTTCTAGCTTAGATGTCTGCAAAACAGCCTTACCAGATCAAAGATCTTCCATGCTAGGTGGAAAAGATGGGACACGTAGACATTCAAGAGCATCAGAGAAAGATTGCTCTATTCTATCTTTCCCCAAACCTCCATTTACAGTGGTACCTCGGGATACGAACTTAATCCGTTCCGTGACTCTGGGTGTATCCCGAG